CCTACTCTGTGTGGAGGGTGGTCATAATGGTATTGCGGGTGCCGATCACAATGTTCCCATAGATGATAGTCTCTGAGTTCGAGCATAGTTAGGGTAGACTTCCGGAAGACATCTTACTGTATTGATGATTTGTAATTGATGATAATATGTAATTATTACTTCTATACCTATTTGATTATATCGAATGATTTAATACTTACCCCTATTTTTTCATGTGGATAAGACTGTGATGATCACTTTTATGTGGGAACAGATCATGAGTTGAGAGGTGGAGATGTGACTACTGGACAACAAATATATTTCAGTGTGGGAGTTACTTTTGCATGTATCTGTATAAATAAATTATATTATTATGTTCTAAGGTTCCGTCAGTGAACCGAGATTTCAGTGTAATATAATGTAATATAGATATTGTTATTTACTTGTTTACTATTTTGCAAAGTTATCATTATAGTAAGTATTTCTAGTATCGTTAGAGTTTAATTAGAATAATAAGTGAGAGATGAGAAAAAAAAAAACACTTGATAATAAAGGAAAAAAAAGAGAGAGAAAAAATAATGAGGATAGAAAAAGAATTACATATAATTAGTAATATTTTTACTTAAGTAAATGAATTGTTGCACATTGATTTTATTAAAAAATATATTATTTATTGAATTAACTTTTAAAATTTATGTTTGTTTTAAGTATTTAATATATATATATATATATATATATATATATATATATATATATATATATATATATTTGAATATCTATCCGTTTGATTACAATTAAACTATTTCGGAAAATCAAGTAGATATTTTTCGATGGTAAATCTACTTATTATTTTTTTATTTTTAATATATAATTTTTAAATTATCATAACTTATTTATCAATATTTTAAATTTATTCACCTAGAATTATACAATTTGTATTAAAAAAATACTAATTAAATTATACAGTATATTAGTTTTTATTTAATATTTTTATATAATTATCTATAAATAAAATGTTAAGGTTCAGAAATATTATAAATAATAATTTATTTTATAAAAATAAATAAATAAATTCATATATTTCATCATTTAATTTAAATATTTATTTTATTATTTATAAAATTAGTTAATTAAAAAATATATAATAACTAAATAATTAGATGACAAGCATTATTGAACAAGAAAAAAAATACAAAATATGATAATGCAAATTTGATTGTGCGCCTGGTACTAACATGCTCACACAGTTCCAATAACAAGTATCTCTTAAGGTTTTACAAAATAATTAAAACGATTCTAATAAACTTTTTAACAATATATGTATATTGTTCATTATGCAGAAGAACAAGTTAATAATAATTAGTATATAGGTGAAATTTAACCTAAAATCATAAATTTCCTCTCTAACCATATTTATTGTGTTTAATTGCCTCATTAATGTGTATATTTAAAGATACAAAATGTGTATCAATAATGGTAGCCTAAAGATACAATCTTTCTTGTTTAAACATATTTGATAAAATTTTCTTATGAGAAATTATGAAATGTAATTTTTTTTAAACAATATATGTTTCAAAATACATGTATTTATTTAATCATATCGAATAAATAAAATGAGAGTTCTAAACTAAATGAAATGAGAGTTATGAAAAATATTATTATTTATACATCTTTTACCCGTTAAAAATTTGAAGTAGTAATGTTAAATAATAATAACATATTGTAGAATTAAATTAATAAAAAAAATTGTATAATTTAATTCATGAAAAAAATTCCATACTTAATAAACAAATTTGAATAATTTAAATAATAAATTTAATCAATAAACTTAGTCAAAATTTCTACAAAAATTAACCATAATCAAAACTAGTGAATATTCCTTATTAATATGAAAAAAAAATGTTATAGTTTTTATATTTCTAAAATAAAACAAACATTAAATGCATGACATTTGCAAGTACTCCGCACATTAATGAGAAATTAAATGCATAAAAGAAACGTAAATTCTAGTCAGTTAAAAACCTCCTAAATAACATGTTTATTTATGGTGTGGTAGGTAGGTTGATTTATTACAGATATTTATTATTATTATTATTATTATTATTAAATATAACTGAATTATAGGATTAAAATACAATAATAGAGTATTATAATAAATATTATGATGTAACTGAAATATGGTGTAATAAAACAATGAATAGTGATGTGGTAAACATGATGTATACGTTTGAAATGCGGAACTTAATTTGTGACACAATGATATGTTAAAACGTTATAATATGATTGAAATATGTAATTAAAATGCGATAAACACTTTAATCCTACTAAAACGTGGTAGTGTAAAAATGCAATAAATATAATAACGCAGTGATAGAACAAATAAATGGCAGGTATAATAGCGAAAACAGTAGTACGAATAATTAATGATAAATTTTAGTAAATATATGACTTATAACAATGATATAGAGTAGAGTTGATGAGATATGATAACATCAATTAAATTACTAAATTATTATAATTATTTTTAAAATTTAAAATGATTGGTTAGTTGCGGGTCAACCTATCCTAATCTGACTCAAACGTGCTTAATTTGTGATATATAAACTGGGTTTATTTTTAACCTTGTCAAGTGCAGTAGTGCAACGAAAAATGAATGGTAAACTTGAGTGAGGGTTTGATGAAGCAGAAGTAAAAAGACAGGATAACATTAATTAGAGTTACTAAATTATTATAATTATTTTTAAAAATTAAAATGATTGATCAATTGTTGTCAATCTATCATAACCTGACTCGAACCCACTTAACTTATGAATTAAGTAAACAAAGTTTATTTTTAACCCAATAAAAAAATCAAATTCAATCATGCTTGAACTAATGGTAGAGTTTGACTTAAGTGTTACAACCCTAAGTTTATCTAATTTATTAAAGACTAAAGTTTATTATTTGTTCTATTTATATAAAAATTTATAAAGTAATAAATAATTAAGAAAAAAATAGATAAATTAATAAAATAAGAAATAATAATTATTTTTATATGTTAATTAATTAATTAGTTTTTTTATATAAATTAGAACATAAAATTTTAATTAGTTTTTTTAGCTATATTATAAAATTTATATCTATTAAAGTTAATAAATATTTGTACATAACATTTATTCTACCGTTATTATTATATATATTAATATTTTTTTCCTTTATTTTTTATTTCATCAATAAACAAATAATAGATAATGCATAAAATGAAAATTTTTATAATTTAAAAATAATATTTTATATACATAATGCCATATATAATATTCTAAATAGACAATTTACATGATAGATTATATATATAAATAATGCATAAAAGACATTTTATTTAAGTAATCACCGTGATAATATATTTATTAACTTATATATATATATATATATATATATATATAATATAATATTTTATCAGAATAGCCTATTAATAATATTTTGATTAAATAATCAATCTATAATATTATTTAATAATATACTATTTTATTTTTATTTTTAATATAATTTATAAATTTAAATTTATTTATTAAAAATATTTTAATACACTAATAAAATTATAAATAATATTTTTTAATATTTTGTTTTTATATATCTACAATATGGTTAAAAGGTGCATAAATAATTTATAAAAATAACTAATTTTATAAAAATAAATAAACAAATTCAGATATTTTATTTTAATTTATTAATTTATATTATAAAATAAATACATGTAATCTAATAATTAAATAATAAGTATAGAATAAATAAATTTTGTAATTAGTTTATATATTATATTTAATATTTAATTACTTTACCTTTAAGTAAAAATGTTACCTTTTGATGTAATTTTCTTTAGTTTTATGTAATAAATTGTTTTATTTTTTGTCCTTCTAATTTTCATTTTTTTTATCATTTACCTACTATTAATACGAAGACGTAACATTATTAACATGGTTCTCGTATCACTGTGTTCACGTGACATATACAAACATCATTACGATGCAATCTTTTATAACAGAATTAGGAAAAAGAAAAAGAGTTGAAATTAAAGAGTTAATTTTGTTTTTTTACAAGAATAAAAAGTATCAAATCACAACATCTGTTTAATTGAAAATTGGTTTGTTATTTAAAAATAATAATAAAATATTAAACTGAATTAAAATTAAAAAAATTAAATAGAAGCAGGTCAAAATCAGTGAAAACAAAGAGTTAATTTTAAGACTTTTTCTGAAAGTCAAATATTTTTAATTTGTTTAACATTAACAATATTTTGACAATCTTAAAAAAAACAATTATTAATCAATCTATTATAATAATATTAATATAATAGATATTGTCAATTAATTATTCTTTCTCGAAAAACATTTTCTTTTATAATTAGACTTTAATCCTCATTCAAGATATTTGATGAAATTCTTATTAAAAAATGTTTTTTTAAAATATATTTTATTATAGATATTATATATAAATTGATTCAAATTTAATTATTTAATTTTATAAAATCTATAATAAAATATATATTTTTATTTCTAAAAAACTCTTATTATTATTATTACCCTTACGTGAAATTTTGACAGTTGTTTTTCTTTATACAAAAATATATAATTACTTTTTCACCCCTCTTTTATATTATTATTAGAAAAATAAAATAAAAAAAATTATGAAAGCATGTTCAAACCCTAATTTTAAACCTTTGAATAATGTCTACAGATCGAGTGTGAGCTGGAGTTCACATTAAGCAATGGATAGTTTTGGCAAAACAAGAATAAGAAGGGAAAGGGAACTGCTTGACCATGATTTTGTACGGTCCTCCTCCGTCTAATTTCATTTTCACACACACACAAAAGTTCTACTGCAGAGTCATAGTGTTTCTTTCAATGGGAGGACACAACAGAACCAAATCATTACTACCGCTTTAATGCTTTCACCAACCAAACAGAGCAGAACCCAACGCCCTTAACTTCAGACCCCTTTTCGTTTCCTTCCTTCTTCGTTTCTCCAAATCTAATCCAAGCAAAATGCGGCTCCGATTCTTAGCGTTGGTGTGTCTGTCTTGTTGTTGGCTTGTCTCGGGCGAGGGTGAAATGGTGTCGTGTTCCGACATAGTGCCGTTGGGGTACCGCAGCGACAAAATTTCCATTACTGAATTTGGCGGCGTGGGTGATGGGCGCACCCTCAACACTAAGGCCTTTCGAGAGGCCATATACAGGATTCAGCACTTGCCACGTGAAGGAGGCACGCTCCTTTACGTCCCTCCCGGGGTATACTTAACGGAACCCTTCAACCTCACCAGCCACATGACGCTCTTCCTCGCTGCCGGTGCCGTTATCACGGCCACGCAGGTACGCAACACAACAATACCATTTTTTACTTTTCAAGTTATATATGCTTTATTATATGTGTCTCTGCAATTTTAATTATTATATTTCTCATTAACTATTACAATTACTTTATATTTAAACTAAATTAGAAAGAGGAGTCAATGAATTTTTTGCAAGCAACTATTGCCATACTTTAATTTCAATTACAATGCTTTCGACTTAATTATAAACGTATTCTTTACCATTTTAACATTTGTCTGTTTTAGTATATATATATACACACGCTGTTAATTAAATATAAATAATGATTTTAAATTTAGACATTTTACATGGAATTAAAATATTAAAATAGAATATGTTGCTCATTAATTTATAAAGATACATTATTGGCAGTATTACATTTGCTTGCGCATGTTATGTTTTGTTTGGCGTAGGTAAAGATTACATACGATTTCCTATTTACATAAACATTACTGTTTGTGAAACGACGATCTCCACCGACTAGCGAGGAGAATTCGGAAAATGAAAGAGATATGAACGTGAAATTGTACATCCGATGTGACAATTTAAAAGCATTTCACGTGCATAAAAAAAGACGTGTCAATTAATGAAAAGCTTATGGTTTATCCGTATGGTTGGTGGTATGGAGTATGGATGATCGTAATGGATGGTGGGAAACATACAATCTCCATGATCTATGGTGGGTCCCAGGTTGAAAGGATAGAAACTATTGGGGGGTCTAGTCTTCATCTAGCATGCCACTATGTGCATCACACTGTAGCTTTGGCAGCTTGGATTTCTGACATTTACTGTCTTCTTCTTTCATAATCTAAGTGGCGGTGGGGTAGACACTTATTCTGCTGCTGCCATTATGCATGTTGGTGTAATTCGTGTGTTTTGATTAAACATCAATCTGAGATGGTGATTAGTGTATCTATGCTGATTTGATCTGTTTTGAACACATCATGTTCTAGCTATATACAAAACTGTAATAAACACCTTTCATCATTTCATCCTTCTTACACAGTTTATTGTTTAAGAGAAAAGGAAACAAAGAGATCAAAAGTTTCAGATGAACAAGGACTCAATTTCTAACGTCCTATTGCTTGATTCATTAGGATTCATCGAATTGGCCTTTGATCGCACCCTTGCCTTCTTATGGAAGAGGAAGGGAGCTGCCTGGAGGAAGGTATATGAGTTTTATACATGGAGATGGTGTTCAGGATGTGGTAATCACTGGTGGGTATCTGATATTTACTATTTTTAGGACACACTGTACTGAATCTGATTTTGTGGTGTGTCCAATACCACATAGTATCTTAAATATGATGATGCTCGGATAGTACTAATAATCAACACATAATTATTCTTTGTTTATGTAATTTTTATACACTTTTTAAATTAATTAAAAATAATATAATTTTAAAGTAGTTATTATAAAATTTAGAATTTTTATGTTAAGATGAAAAAAAAAAAGGCTAATGCATACTGGAGTCTTCAATGAAAGAGCTAAAATAAAATAAAGACTGACATTTTTCCCATGATATTCTTAAGCTAAACACACTTATATTACTTAATGGATATCCATCCATGGATACTAATTATCTATGTAACTATTTAACTCCACTTAATATAGTCTTTTAACCACTCTAGATTTAAAGTTTATTTGGCCTCTCTAAATCTATCTTAATATTATACATGTAAGTTAGTGTAAAGGGATGAAAATGTAAAATACCTTTATATTGTGAGGGCAAATATCATTTATTCAAAGCTTTAGACTGCATCGGTAATTGAGACTAGAGGCTTTCATGTCTCAACCATACCCTCTGTCTCTCATACACACTCATTCATATTTTTCACAGGTGAAAATGGGACAATTGATGGACAGGGAGATGCCTGGTGGAATAAGTGGAGGCAGGGAACTCTTCTGTTTACCAGACCAAACCTTGTCGAGTTTGTGAATTCTAGAGATATTATTATTTCAAATGTAATCTTCAAGAATTCTCCCTTCTGGAACATACACCCTGTTTACAGCAGGTATAGGTCGATATAGATCATTACTCGTCAATCATTTAAAGTGTGGTCATAGATACCATTCTTCAATCCTCTTTTTATTTATTATTTGGTAACATTATTTTACTATGATGTTGGTGGGAATATATTAGTAGTCATATTTGTAGGAATTCTTTATAATCCTGTTACTTTGTTTGTAGAAACTAACTAGCTCTCATCCTTAAATTCCTAATTATCTGACTTCTTTGCAGCAATGTTGTTGTGCGATTTGTCACCATTTTGGCTCCACGTGACTCTCCAAACACTGATGGCATTGATCCAGGTGAATAGTCATTGCTTTCTAAGTAGAAAAATATTGATATCACATTCTTCTAAATATTAAAAAAAATTATGAGTGTTACCTCTTAAGTTTCACTTTTAAGTTTATAATTTTAACTAATAGAGATTAGGAAAGAATGAATGCTACAGATTATGCTTTGTGCAAATAGTGAAATGGATACAACAAAACTATGTTAAGTTACTAACTGATCTTATTTCATTGTTGTAAGCAATGCATTTTGGATTTTGCAATTCTTTCCTTCTAAAACAATTATACCTTGTTTCGTACCGGTGACAAGATGCACTCAAACGTAGTCAATAGCTTGAGATTTGACAAGTAGCCTCTCAAGTTTTGTATTTATGTTTGTTTCCTTCCAAGTTAACCAACACTGCAATGCAGTACTTAATGGCAAGTAAGACAACTTTGTTATTTCGAGGTTGAAATATTTTGGCACCACCGACAAGAAGTTAGTTACCCTTGTATATCCATTCATAACAGTAATTTCGTTGATGCAGATTCAAGTTCAAATGTGTGCATAGAGGATTCATACATATCTACTGGAGATGATCTTGTGGCTGTGAAGAGTGGATGGGATGAATATGGGATTGCTTATGGCAGGCCTAGCTCTAACATCACCATCAGGCGGGTAAGTGGATCATCCCCATTTGCTGGGATTGCTATTGGCAGTGAAACCTCTGGTGGAGTGGAGAATGTACTTGCTGAACACATCAACCTTTACAAAATGGGAATTGGTATCCACATTAAGACCAACAGTGGCAGGGGTGGATTTATAAAGAATATAACCATGTCTCATGTGTATATGGAGGATGCAAGGAAGGGAATGAGGATCTCAGGTGATGTTGGGGGCCACCCTGATGACAAATTTGATCCTAATGCTCTCCCTCTAGTGAAGGGTGTGACAATTAAGAATGTTTGGGGTGAAAAGGTTTTGCAAGCTGGCTTGATACAAGGGGTGAAAAATTCACCTTTCACTGATATTTGCCTGTATGATATCAACCTTCATGGAGTGACAGGACCTAGAACTCCTCCTTGGAAGTGTTCTGATGTGTCTGGATTTGCTCATCAGGTTAGCCCTTGGCCATGTTCCGAGCTTAACAGCAACCAGCAGGGATCATGTGCCAATTACTCCTGAGTCATGGAAATATTTCTCTACTTTTCAAGTCCTGAGAAGAATAACCAACCATTGGCTTCTTTTGTTGAATTATCGTAAAAGAAAAAGGCATTGCATTATCATGAGCTGCAAAATGAAGACTTGTTTGTTTTAAATTCAGAAGAATTGGTTTTGATAGAAATAATTTTAAATGTAATTGAGATGTATGTCTAAATTAATTTCAATTATAAAATTTATATTAAAACATGTCCCAATCAAATGAATTTATTCCGGCTTTAAATAAGCATGTCTTAAATTTATTCACATATATGTGAAGTAAAAATAATAAGTATTGATGCATTTGGATATGATTTGATAAATTATCCGGAAAAAAACACAAACATATCTAAAAGAAATATATATTTGAAAAACTACAGATTACTCTTTAAAATATACAGTTAATTTACAAATAAAAGTGTGACATCTTAGCTGTAAGAAAATTACGGGAATAAATTTAAAAAGTTTATGATTTCATTATTAAATATAACACTGAAACTAATATTAATTTCTTATTGATGTTGTTTTTTCGTGGTTTCTTATAAAACAAGAATTGATATTGGAAAAGTTAAAATAATAGTATCATAGGGACAACCAAATTTTATCTTTATTTTCTGTATCCAGATTTCATGCAGAATAATTTTAGAATCGAATATTCTTTGGAGATAAGAACTCAACATACATCATACATAAATTAGAAATGAGACAAATTTAGGATTTTGGATCCAAGCCCACTTTAAATTAACTCAATGCGATTCCTACGTTAAAACTATTTTGGTAATGTTATATTAGATTTTTTGATACGATAAGTAAATTTAGTTGGTAATAAGAAGGGATAGAAATTGAAGACTCTCTAAATTGGGAAAGTTTTTTTTTTTTTTATAATGTTAAATTTAATTACATTTCTCATTCTCAATTTTTTTATACGTATGAAACATATTCATGATATATTTTTTAAAATATGATTTTCATAAAATATGATTCTTAAAATAAAAGAAGTCATATATTTCAAACACAAATCTTAATAGTAATAATTAATTGACAAAACCATAAAAAGTTGTCAAGAAATATTTATTACTATATCATAAATAATAATTTCATTTATCTTTTCACTTCTATTTTCTAGATCTGTGTAAAAATAACTGAAAATAAAATTAATAATCATGGTAATCAGGGGCACAATTTAATTTAACAATATTGATAAATGAAGGAAAAAAATTGAAGGAGTTGTGGCTTACGTTGGATGTGGGGGTAAAACTTAAAAGTAGGCAAATTAAATCCTCTATATGCAATTTTATATGCAGCAAAAATTCAGTTGAATCAAAACCATAGATCATCCATCACACAGAATTTAACGAAGATGCTGTGGCAGTGGCAGTGGCAGTGGCAGGGGCATGAGAGGATCGAAGAATTGGAGTGAAGTTACAGTGTTTACTCGAGAAGCAGAAGTAGAAGCCTGCGTTTGAGTTTCAGTGCACAGGCAAAGCACAACCCACACACACGCCATCGTCATGTCTCTGCTCGAGTCGTTGTTAGTTAGCGCTTTCACTGTCATATAGAAAGCGAGAAACGCACACACGCACTTTCCCTCTCTTCTCAAAACGTCGTTGTCTTCCATGGCTATTCGACCTCCTGCTACTTCACTTTCCTCACCGTCTGGTAAGTATTTCGAACTCTTCTTTCTCCGCTATTCAATTTCCGGATTACTATAACTCCTTCAAATAACCAATTTGTTTCTATTTCTCTTTACTGATTGGATTCAGCAAAATTTGTTAAACTTGCTTCCATTCGTTCCTAAGAAACTCGTGTTCGTGCATGCATTTTCAACGCTTATTAGGTGAAAATGTTCTCAAGTTATTAGGTCCGATCGAGTTTTAAGGAGGAGAATGCTGGCTTATTATTTGTCATTTGCTTTCACAATAATAGAAATCTGGAGTTTGCCGGTGCAAAATAAATAAATAAATTAAAAATGCTTTTGTCATTTTACGGTCTTCAGATTGTGAAAAGGTCTAAAAGTTTGAGGGCTAAATGCAAATTTTAGGAATTTGATAACGAGAATGAGCCAAAATTTTGATCGAGACTATACTTTTGTTATCGAGTGATAGAATTTATATAGTGTTAGTTATTTTATACATTTTGAGATTTTCTTTTGTTTATGTGATTTGAGATACTTACCTACACTACGCGTGTTAGGAATTTGATTATGAGAGTGAGTACAAAATTCTGAAGGAGACTAGATTTTTGTTCTCGAGTGATAGAACTTATTAGATGATCGTTAATATTTTAACACATTTTGATATTTTCGTTTGTTTTGTGTTTTGAGATACTTGCCTACACTACACCTGTTAACGTCTTTAAGTTATGTTCAAATGCTCTGTTGTTGGATGGTGTTCATCGTTGTTCAACACTATCTGTCTTGTAGAAGGGATATGTTACTCTACATCATATGGAATAACAAGCAACTCAATCAAACTTCAGATTGATGGGCGAAGATGGCATGACCTTGCCAGCACAAGGTGCTTATACATTGCATAAATGATGATTATTTACCCTTATTCGGAAAATAGAGTGATCTGTTTGAAAGTCGTTTCATCTTCTTGCTTGTAGAATTGTGATGGTACATATGCGATTATTCAGTTTGTCTTCTAATTAGAGTCAAGGAAATTAGGGGAAGATATTTCCAATTATTTGCATCCATTTTCCATATCAGTATGATACTCGTCTATTATGAGTGACTCAATTTCTTTCTTTCTTTACTCTTTATCTATAGCTTGTCAGATTTAATCCTTCATAGAGTATCAACAATGTCAATCCGCTTGAACTAAAATTTAATCTGTTAAGTGAAGTCGATGATTATTTTTATAACCCAAACACAAGAATTATAGATGCATGCTAGGATTTTAGTTCATTTGCACAATTTTATTTTACTACTTGTAACCTAATATTTGTTCCAGACAAGTAAGTACAGATCTAGAACCCTCAAAACAAGAATGCTATAAAAGATTATAAATTTAATTATATCACACCACTATTTTCATTAATCTCTTCCTTCTCCTGACTCAGCAATCATATTCCATTTACTGTGCTAGTTGAAAATTCACTAAACTGAGTGTGGCAATTATTTGTATAGGTTTATTCTTGTCACTTGTCACATCTTGTCTAGGTCATTGTTCTTCTTGAAAGATTTATAATGCTTGTTTTCTGAAAATAGTTTGGTTATCTTTAGGTTCAAAAGTTCATTTTTTGGATCGCCACACTTCCTTTGGCTATCCACAGGGCATGATCAGTGCCTTTCAAAGGTTAATGTTGCTGCAGACTATTCAGATTCTATACCTGATTCTTCTGATCACATGGATAAACAAGGTTATCATCCTCTTGAAGAACTGAAAGTTTCTGATGATATAAAGCCAACTAGACTCTCTCCTCCTGAAATGGCAAAAACAACTGTAGAGGTTTGTGCCTTAATGTATTTGTGCATGTGAAACAAGTTAATTTGCAATATCTAGGGCCGCAGACCTGGCACACATTATATGATTTTTCTATTTTGCTTGACGTATTTTGGTAGTATCCATATACTCTTTATCATCATGCCCTGTTTGTTGGCATTAGGCTAATAAAAACGCCTTGCTAGTATTTCCTGGAATGGTACACTGTGAACCACATGAGCAGATTTCATGGGCTGAGTTTCAATATCATATTGATGATTTCGGAGGTTTGTTTTCTTTTTTGTCACGAATATATTTTGTTTATGAAATGAGAATTTTCAGTTAGCTTAATGAATTCATGATTCAATATTAAACATTGAGAATTTTAACCAATGCTTTTTATTTGCTTTTTTTTTTTTCTGTAGATATATATTTTGAAATCTTTGATGATGCAAACCTTTTGGCAGATCGTGGAGCTAACAATCCTGTGGTAGGAATTTAGTAGATGTTTACAAAGGGATTTCATTGTTAGTCACGTTAAGAGTTAACTAATTATGCTTAGCTGTTGAGACTTCTTTTTTTCTTCTCTTCTCTTCTCTAAGGAGTACTCTATACCCTTCGTTCATTCTTTGTCTCCCTATCTGATACGCATTATTTAATAAAAAATTATTCTCTTTTTGAATTGGAAATTAATGAAAGTTGCAGACATGTGTCCGAGAACCATGTAAAACCTGTGTGTTGTATTTATAGATTTAAGGTCAAGGCTTCTAATCTCTACACCTATTTTTCTCATGGATCTTTTCTTTTCTTTATTTCTTTTGACTGATGTACTTGGCACTTTGTTAGGAAATTAAATGTATATGTAAGAAGGAAGAAAACAAAAAGTTAGTTGGTTGGTTAGGCGGTTATAGTCTTCCTAATAGGAAGACTATATATATAGGTGGGTTTTTGTTGTTGGGGGATATGTTTTTGTATGTTGAGAGTATAGACAGGATTGTTAGTGTCTTGTGAGAACATCACCTCTTGATAGTGTTCTTGTTGTATGACTATTGAGAAACGAATAAAAGAAGAGTATACAGTTTCGTGAGGGTGTTTTCTGTGAGTGAAAACGTTTTTGAACCGGTTTCTTCTATCAAAAAACTTAATAGACTCCTTGTCAGATTTCATGTTTTCACTCAAAATAAAAATGCACTTTCATAGATGAGATATTTATTTAAAATCACATGAAATTATTAATAAAGATCCAGAGATTATGTAGTTATCTTAGAAGTGTTACTTTTTTAAGTGACTCAACTCTGTTTCTGTGCAACAGCTTGAATATCTATATTTGTTTTTTGGACGGTAAAGTCAAGTAGTTTTGGCATGGTATTTTTGTCTTCCATCCTTATCTTTAACATCGAAGTTGTGAAGTTGATATTCAAGTTCTGTGTTTCTTCAGAATGTTTTGATTGGAATGGACATCCCAATATATGATAATAACAGAAGGACTGCTAGCGAGTATGACATTTTCAATAATGGCAAGGATGACGAATTTGCATTTGATGATGATGATGCTATTGAGGTTTGTATTTTCAAATTATGGAATTTGGACAGTTGTTTTAGTTACGAATTGTTTCTTTTTATGCATGTGAGAAATTTAAATCTAAGTATATTCTTCTGCAAACAGGTCTCAGAAATGGAGGAGTTTAACATATCAGTGAATTGGGGACATCCTGACACTACAAACTCTATTCATCCAATCTATTTCTCAAAGTGCTTAACAAAGGTCCTTGATCCCCTGAAAAAGAACACAACAAGAGCCAATAGATAGCTAATATTTCAAGTTTCAACGTGAGAATGATTTAACAGATTCATAGGTTCTGGAAGAAATAACATTGATCCTTTATGATTTTCTTCTAGGCTGTCAACAACACGGGATATGTTAAAAGAATGAACCATCCTTCAAATGGTGTTTCTATTATAGGGTTCCTTAGACCCGTTTATGGTGAAGAAAAGTCATATCTAAGATGGATGTATCACACTGAAGATGGTGCTGTATACATCTCTGACTGGAGAGGTATCTGTTAACTTCAAGTTTGATATATCTGATGTACAGATTTATTTTTTACACATTTAATATAAAAACATTGTTAGTTTTTCTGATAGCACCTATTGGAGCAACTCTATGGATAACTGTATAAATTCCTAAAATTAAGCTTGTAGCGCATAGATTTTTTATGTAAAGTTTTGTGTTGGAAGTTGGGGTAAGGATATAGTTACAGATTTAGATCGACCCAGCTTTAACTTTTATGTTACTTTCATGTTTTTATTTATATGCAAAGCAATTTGTAGGCCAACTTTTCTGTGAACTTTATATAATACTTTCTTTCTGTGGTGCATTTCTGAAGAAGTGTGTTAAAGTGCTCTGAACTGCCTCTTAATTTTGTATTGCAGAAGGATCTTGTTTAGTTGACTGAAGTTGTGCTACTTTATTGAAAACTCAAATTTGGTGTCAGTTGTTTGGGTTCACTACTCTTGCACTTTGGTTCTTGTCTAGGAATGTCAATATAGTATTTCAATATAACAACCGAGCTTCAAGTTTGTCATTGCAGTTCTCAGAACATATTGCATTTATGTAACTTGCAGAGGCAAAGGCTCTTCTATATCAGTGTCATATGAAATCTTAGTTTTGACAGAAAAAAAATGTAGATTAATTGGTAAATTGTTTTTAACTTTTTTCCTTTAATCTTTGGATGGTGAAGATTCTTACTCAAATAGTGTTGATGACCAAGGAGACAGTAATTTGACACTATATCGGTTAGAGATACTCAAAATTGAGCTCTACTCCATGTATGGATATCAGGCATGTGTCTCAAAACCGGTTCTTTCTTTCTTTCTTTCATTCTTTATCTATCTACATAACAACACCTGGTTGCTTTTTAGAAAGAGTATGTTAACTGGTCATGACTTTTGTTTAGAAAAATACACCAAAAGGCAAGCATGCTACCCCTAGAAAGCAAATGGGGATACATAAGCAAACTGCAATATTTCTTTGTAATTTGAAGCATTATTAAGTTTGTTGAGATCTATATTCTAAATTTCAAACTATGAATGTTCTACATGTCCACAAAAATTGCAGTCTGAAATTAGTGTTCTAGAGTTTCAAGATGCTGAACCTGATATTCTTGCACACTCTTCTTCGGAAATTCTGGAACGCTTCAACCGGTTCTGTGATGATGATCTTAAATCACTTTGCAGAAAGAAAGGTCTTGATGCTGAGGTAATTCAAATTTTTCCCCACTTTATCCGCTATGCAAATGTTTCAAGTTAATCAATTTCATTGGATAACAGGTAGCAAAATAATTTGACATTTATTTACATCTTCATTCTTTTCTTTAGGACACCAAATAAATAAAGGAAAGCCTCCCTTATTTTCCATTGGATGATACCAAACAAGGAATTGATGATTTCCTTACTAATCTCCTTTTCTTTTCTATCTTATTCCTTTGCCTTCATGATGCCAAACAAACACTGTCGTAGGAAATGACTATTATTTGCTACATTATCTGTTTATTCTTTGATATTTTGTGTCTACTGCTAACAGTTGGTTTAAGTCGATTGGTTATTTAACTGTTAATATTACTTGGCTTCCAGGGAGCTTTCCTGGTTGGGGTTGACAGCCTTGGCGTGGATGTTAGAGTATTTTCAGGTGCAAAAGTAAAAACTCATCGCTTTCCATTCAAAGTTCAGGTAAGGATTGTGGGTTTCAACAGAATGTGTAGGCTTATGATTCTTATGCTATCCAGTATTTAGTGTGGCACATTTACATGATAAAGTTCAAATAAGCGACGTGGAACGAGGAAAACATATTTATATAATAACCCAAAAGATATTTTATTGCCATTGTTTTGTAACTATAACTTAACAGTATTATTTGATGAATTTGATTTTAAAATATTTTTGGGATTTCTGAGACTTACGAATTATCAATAATATTTGAAGCAAAACTGTTACTTCGAGGTTCTAAGTCAACCAATGTGTCGTGCACATATCACATACTCGCTGAGCACGTGGGAAGAAGATTTAAACTGGATTCTCCAGAAATGTTTTTTTGGTAGAATTTGGGAAGTGGACTTCTTAATTGACGGTTTAATATTAAAAGACTAAATAAAGGTAAACAAACCTTTGGCTGGGGGTAAGGTGATGAACATGCGTGATCAGAAGAGTAGGGAACACTGTTGTGTTTGTAGATGACCACGTGTGAAAGAAGCCTTTACAGTCCACAACCTTCCATTTAAAGCGTTTTTTTTGTATAATGGTTAGCAAGAGCCTACAACATAGGCTATTTCATTCCATGGACTTGGGCCATATAAGCATTTGTAACTGATATAAATTTGCTTAGAGAAGAAATCTTCAGAATGGCATGTTTTCAAATTCATTAATGGATTTTTCTCCTTCCATTTGTAGGCTGCCACAGTAAACGCAGCTGCAAAACAAATTTGGCAACTCTTGTTTCCCCGGTCTCAACGAAAGAAGAATATGAAGAAGTGGCGGAGTACCAGTATGATTTAAGTATCCCTCAGTGATTGGTCCTTTTCAAACTGCCCCTAGAGTCTGATCTGGAGCAATTGATGTCTTTATGTATAAATAGTTCTATAATCTGTACATTGTTTTTGGTACATCTTCGAAGTTTAGAAAAAGAGGAGGTAAGAGTTGTGTTACACTTCAAAGAAGTATTAGTGGCTGCAAATGTTAAACGCAAGTTTATTTAGGGATCTTTACCAATGCACAAAGTTGAGAAGCAAGTATTTATGTGTTTGGATTGCAGTTTGAAGCTTGTCAAATGGAGAAACACACGTTCCAATACACAAAACTGAGAAACAAGTAGTTTATCTTATTGAGATAAACATCAGGTACGTTGAATGTAGCTTTTATCCAAACATCTCCATGTTGGCCCTATAATTTAGGTCGAAAAGGGATCCACATGGTTGCCTTCTTTTCCTTCTTTACTTCCTTTACAGATTAGAAGTGTTAGAACGTTACCTTTCTATTTTGTGAATAATAAGTGATGCTGAGTGACAGCATTTATACACAAAACTGTTTCCTCAGGAGATCATGATCTTTATTAATATGCAATTATTCTATGTGATTAGTACATTGATGATATAGTTTTGAGTTTCAGGATGATTTGAACAAAATATAGAAGATGTTGCCACACATTATTGTTTAACTTTCAACCTTTTAGCACGAGATAGATTATTTCGGTAACTGCATAACCTGTGTTCTTAGGAATTACTATTAAATATGAATTATATATGTTTGTGTGTGGCCTGTTTTGTATTGGGGGGCTCAAAAGCTATTTTAAGCCAAATCTGTTTGGTATTTTTCACTTCTTTTTTTTCCTTGGAAGCTACTTTTAATCTAAAAGTTGCTCGGTTAGTATAAAACTTTCATAAAAGCTCTTAAATATAAGTAATTTTATGAAAAATAATTAGCAAATACCTAGACATGGCAATGAGGCTGCAGCAGGTTTTGCCTCCCATCTTTGCTTCCGATATTTTTTTTAATCGTTCCTGCATTTGATTTTTGTCAAAATTACAAATTAAGTTTTTAATTTCTCTCATGTTTGAATTTTGGTTTCTCACCTCTGTATTGTTTCATATCCAGTCTACATTATTTTTTAAAAATAATTATACTTATAATAAATTAATTTTAATAATTTTTATTTATTTTTATATATAAATAAATGTTTATTATTTTATAATTTGTAATTATTATTATTATTAATTAAATATATATATTTATAAAAGAAATATTTAATCATTTTTTATACAAATATAAAATATTTATAATATTATTATTTTTATTATTCTGTATTTGATTATATATATAAGTTAATTATTTTTTAAATTATCATTTAAAAAAAATATATATATATATATATAATATATAATTTATAAGAAAATATTTAATAAGTTAATTTTTATTTAATTAGTTAAAAGTAATAAAATTTTAATTTTTAAAATTTTTTAAATATAATTATTTTATTAAGATAAAATTTGATATATGACAAATAAGAATAATAAAATAAAAAAAATGATATAATAAAATCTAATAAAGATAAATTTAAAATAAAATAATATTAATTATTATTAAGATTGATATAGAATATTTAGAAAAAAGAAAAAAATGTGTGTTAAATTTGTTGAAAATATTGAAAAAATTAAATTAACTCAAGATATTGAAATGTGAATAAGTGAAGAGTAAGAGAAATAAAATAATGTAATGAATTAATTGATATAAAAGATTAAAAAAGATAAAAAAATGAAAAATTGAATAAAAGAAAAATAAAATTGATAAAATATAAAAAAATAATTATATATAAGGAAGAAAATAAAATAAATATTTTAATATTTAAATTTAAATATAAAATTAAAACGGATGAGTCGTGGTATATTTTTTTATTTTTTATTTCATGAGTTATATTTTATAATGTTAAAAATTGAGGCTATTAATGATTTGTATATATTTTTATTTTTTTTATGTTTTATTTTATATGAGTTATATTTTGATAATGTTAAAAATTAAGGTTATTAATAATTTATATATTTTTATTTTTTAATTTGTTGATATCCTTTAAAAATAAAATTGAGATAAATTAATAATTTAAAACTATTAATATTTCGAGTATAATAATGAATTTTGTCAAAAATTTAACAAGGACGAGTAGGTATAAAGTGCATAATGTATCTCATCGTGTAGGTTAGTTAGTGTTGTTCATAGTGTTAACTATAAGAGATTTGAGATTTGGAGGCTGCTGCCACTGGAGTTATGGACGCTGGGCTTTGATAATATTATTATTGATCATATATGACATTTTACTGTGCAACTTTGCACTTGTACTGTTTTTAAGGTGGAAAGATACATAGACTACGTGAGCATGAGGACATCAAGTCCTATTTTACTCTTTAACCTCTATTCGTTTATGGATATTTCTTGTTCATCAGCTTTTTTGTGTAATAATTAACACTAACTTTCATTCTTAGTTTTACACTGGCTAATTGTCATGAAACCTGTTTTGTGTTTATTTCTTTTTCTGATATTTGGTTCCAATAATTTTTTCATTTTGTAAGAGGCGTAAGTAAACACATACACTGTTGAGGTCCTTATGCAAGACTGGCACAAATTACTTCACACAAATGTAAGATAATAATTTGATATTTATTATGCATCAAACACCATATTGCATAGATTCCAAAAGAATGGTTGAGATAGAAAATTATAATTTGGTTTGAAGTAAATAATTCCGCAATCAGCTTTAAATAATAAAGCAATAATAAGGGTAAAAATGCCATTGGAAGTAGAAGTAATATTTTTGTAATATCAAAATTGAGTGTGGTAGAATAAGATAAAATCATTCCCACTGGTATTTTCTAGTCTTAAAGTTTTCTACATACAAAGTATATTATGTTTTGCTGTAGATATCCTATTGACAAGTCAAGAACGATTATATTGATTGAATCAGCAAGTATATATTCGACACGATTATCACGTGACTTTTTAAGAAAATTTTAAAATTTGTATGAGCACATATACACTATGTTTAATTTTCATTTTTATTATTTATTTATCTTTTAATATAATAATTTATCATAATTATTAAATACCTACAATAAGTTGTAATTCTTTTTTTTTCGGAGGAAATGAATCTATCTTATTTTTAAAATTCATATAATCATATTATTATCAAATAAAAATTAAGTAATTTTGACAATTTATAGAGACTTTATTATTATTAAATAATTAAAAAAACTCACTTATAATAATTATAAAGGACTAAAAATACATGTGATTTAAATTATTTAGAATAAATATAATTATATAATTAAAATATTTTTTAATTTATATTGTAATAATAATTTATAAATTAAAAACTTATTAATTTATGAATTATAATTATATATAAATAATTATTTACCTTATACGCACTAAAATACTAATTGTTATCATTTTTGTATTTCCAACCAATTATTATGTGTTTTCTTGTACTCTCAACTTTATCTTACCAGAAAAAAAAACATTAATGACTATTGAAAAATGAGAATAATAACTGATGAGAAATAATCAGCGCTAACCTGAATCTAGATAAAGTCTCTCCCTCTTTTATCTTCCTGATTGTTTTTACAACAAGAAAACAAAGATCAACCCTCTGTCTTTTCTCGCTCTTCTGGTTTTGTTTTGCAGCAGAAGAAGTTATCAAATTCTGAGAAAGGACAAGGTGAGGGAAAGTAGTTGTTGCAGTGGCCGTCCAAGGTTGAATCTTTGGCATATTTAAATGAGACCCCATCATTAAAAATTTAGTCTTTTGTAGTCCTCTTCTCCTTGTTCTCATTCTCCCATCCTTGTCCGTTCTCTTCCGTCAACGTTGCTTTCTCTTTCCTCGAGTTTTGAAATAGTGAGTGATGACGACGGAGAAGGAGAAGGAACAGGATCAGGTGGTGATTGATGCAGGGATGAAGAGGTACAGGAATGGAGAAATATGGGAGTTTGAAGATGACATGGGTGTCTCAGATGGTGGCAATGGTGTCTTGTTGGGTTTGGACGGTGGAACTACCTCCACTGTCTGCATTTGCATGCCGATGATTCCCTTTTCGCACTCTCAGCTCCATTCCCTTCCCATCCTTGCAAGGGCTGTTGCTGGATGCTCCAATCACAACAGTGTTGGAGGTAATTCATAATCCCCCTTTCTTCTCTCTTGTACACTTGGTGTGCTTTTGAATTTTTTTTATTTTGGTCGGCACTTGATGTGTTTGATTATTCCCTTTGTGGGTTGGTTTCAAAATTTGATTTTCTTGTCTGTATTTGTTGGGTTATTTGATAGTTTGTTTTGTTGGAATATTTGTTGTGGGTTTGGGAATTTGAAACTGTTTGGTTCAGTGTGTGTTTCAGTTATCTTTTTTGGGTTGGGAACTATGGGAGGATAAGAGGGACCTCTTAGTTTGAATATACATTTGTTTTTGCATACCTTAGTAGGATGCCGGTTATGGCCTATGCAATTTGATGATCAGAAACATTCTGTACTGGAGAAATTGGCTGTTTGGTTATGAAGCCAAATGCTGTGTTGATGTAAGATAGTCACAAGCGGCTCTTGCCTACAGCTAAGCTGTTGGAGTTGGTCATTTAGGAAAAGCTGCAATCTTATGGTACACTTTTGGGTTTTAGTTGTTAATGTCTTTAAAGATTACATACTTGTTACAGGATTTTCTATCTGGCATTCTGAAGAAGTTTTGGCGATAGTGTTTTTGTCTTTAGATGTGCCTATTTTTTGGTGCTCTCTCTAGTATTTTTTGCAATAATGAATTTCTTATTTTAACCATCCTCCTATCCTCCAAAAAAAAACGATCATAAATTGTGTTTGCTGGCCAAGTACACCTGTAGAATCTCCATTGGGTCGTTTTGTGGGTTAGATTTGTGCATAAACAATAAACAAAATTTCATGTATTCAACGGTTTTAAAGAATTATACCTGCCATAATAAAATGAAGATCCCATTCCAAGGGAAGTCTTATCATTACTTGTTACCATTAATCACTTCTTCTACAGAAATTGCTGCAAGGGAAACAATAGAGCAGGTTATGGCAGATGCTCTTTCAAAGTGTGCTTCAAAAAGATCTTCAGTTCGAGCTGTTTGTTTGGCTGTATCTGGTGTTAACCATCCAACAGATCAACAAAGAATTCTCAGATGGCTTAGGTTGATAAGCTTTATTCAAGTATATCTTCCATTTATTTGTGTGGATAAAAAGCATTTCAAGCTATTTTCACTCTTGCTATTAGAAGTGACTAACAAAGTTATTTATTTTATTTATCTGTTAGATTTTATGAGTAATGAATGTACTGTGTTTTTATCTCTGATGACGTAGATGATCTGTATGTTAGTTTTTGTAATATATTAAATTGCAGAAGGATGCAACTGAGTTTCAAGTTGTTTATCGAAATATTAGAAAAGAGGATTTTCTTCCTAAATAAAAAAATAAAAACCATAAATAAACTGAGTTAATCCTGTCATGAATAACAATGTTACTACAGAACTCAACCTTTATAAAAGAAAGGTGATAACATAACATCTGTTGTTTTTAGTTTATCTATATAAGAAGTCGCTTCCATTATTCCAATGTTATATTAGATTGGTGATACTGAATTTCTTCATTGTTTTCAATTTGCTAAAGCAGTGTGTGTAATATAATTAAAGCAAGGACCACATTAGAATTAGGGGACTTATCTATAAACAATTAAAACTTATATAAACTGTAGTTCATTTGTACACATTGCTGGTTGAGTTCTTTGAATATGATGTGTTATTTAATATCCATTATAGTTCTCTGTTATTTTAGAGACTGAAGTATGTTGTGGATTTACGTAAACAGGGATATATTCCCAAGCCATGTGAGGTTATATGTTAGGAATGATGCTGTGGCTGCTCTGTCAAGTGGAACAATGGGTAAACTTCATGGATGTGTACTAATTGCTGGCACAGGGAGCATTGCGTATGGATTTACTGAAGATGGGAAAGAAGCTAGGGCAGCAGGTGCCGGACCTGTCTTAGGTGACTGGGGCAGGTAACATTCCCTCTCTCTACACTTTTTAACCATGAAAATGAGATTTTGGTGAAAAAAGGTGTAATATGGTGACCAATAATTTCGTTACTCAGAAAAGGGCTTTAAGTGTGCAAATTGATCTGACCTTTCTTAAAAGTTCTTTCCGTCATATATATATATATATTGACATCACTCATGAAAGCTATAAAAAGAGCCATGGGGAATGTCTTTCTTTTGATATCCAACTTGATTCCTTCTATTGCTTGGTTGAAAGTCTGCTTTATTATTTGCAGTGGATATGGAATAGCTGCACAGGCGCTAACTGCAGTAGTAAGAGCTCATGATGGTCGTGGTCCAAGTACAATGCTTACAAGTAGTATTTTACAAAAACTTGGTCTTTCTTCTGCAGAAGAATTAATTGGGTATATATGCTATCTGTCTGTATAATTGTTCATTTACATGCATCTGTGAAATAAATAGATAGTATTTGGATATCTTACTGCTAGAAATGCAACAAAAAGAACCATCCATGTGTCTTTATCTAAACACCTAAAGCATTTTAGATTGTTGGTTCATGAAATGTTATACAGCTTCTATTGCCTAGTAGTACAGAGTTTGATTCTTGTTGCCCTCATACTTATGGTAACAAAAGAGAGAGAATTTCATTACAGGGTAGGGGTAAGTGTGTCGGTGCATTATCCATGCTTCAAGTGCTAACGATTCTTGCATGAAGTATTGAGAAAATCCTAATTCTAACTAGGATTGAGAAGGGGGTAGATGGATTATAAATCACTTGATTATAATACAGATTTTAAGATCGTGCTAATAACATAATGCATAGGGAGAGAGTAGAGATAGAACAAGGAGTAAGGCAGCAGGAGAGATTAAAGAGTACAAAGAGAGAGCAACTGAGGTAGAAGGGCATCACAAGATTGAGGGGGGGAGGGCCTACAAACTTGGATGCAAAACTACCACAAAACCGAGCTGCATTAGGCAAAGTTGGATTGCAAAAATTGGTTGATCCCATGATATCCTAAAAGAAGAAAGACTGGGGAATTCACTCTGATCACACCAATTTACAATCACAGCTTCATTTACCTGGGGATCCGTCCAAAACAATTAAAACCATGAGATATTACCATCTTTTGATTTTGACAATTGTTGCTTGCTTGAGGGGGCTTTTATGATTGTTGATTTTAAACCAATTTTGGAGCTTTAGTCACATACCCCCTTGCCTATCCACACTACAAATGCAAACTAAGTTGACTTATATATATTTCAAGAATGAGTAATTTTTAGTTGGAAGTAATTTAGTAAATGCAATGCAATTTAATTTCATCATGTTATATACAGATGGACCTATGCAGATCCCTCTTGGGCCCGCATTGCAGCACTTGTTCCAACTGTAGTGACCTGTGCAGAGGCTGGGGATGAGGTTGCAAATAAGATCTTACTAGAATCTGTACAAGAGCTAGCTTCAAGTGTCAAAGCTGTTGTAAACAGACTTGGATTATGTGGTCAAGGTTAGGGATTATTTAAATTTAATATCATTTTTTTAGTGCATTACATTTATGGCTAGTTTGGATGAGATTTTTCATAAGTTCTTTCTAGGAGAGAAAAAACTAAAAAATTAGCCAAGCTAAATTGCAGAAGCTCGCTCATATAACTTCTCTAATTTGTTTTCTTTTTTTTTTTTTAACTTGTGCATAAGCTAATTTTAGTTTATGGTGAAATTAGTTTCAAATTTTTTTTTCTTACTTTTTTCTCCTAGACATGGTAAAACTTGTCCAAACAGGCCCTAATATTCATCATGAATGGAAATCCACCAAAAATATATATATAGTGAGTCCTGTTGTGTAGTGTAGAATTCCATGTATTATTTAATATGCAGACAATATTTATAAAACTTATCATGTAACTGGTGAGATTAAAATTTAATTTTTGGGTTAAACTTCTGGAAAGCTGAACACAACTGACTTTTATGTTGTTTTGTTTAGGAAGGCCAGAATTGTCTGTGTCTTGTATGGGATGCATATTATTATCAAGACTAACCGAATATGTCAAACTCTAGATATAGAAAAAAAAAATCTCTGGCATTTTGTGTGCCAGTCTACCTGACAACAAAACATTATGATGGATGTTGCAATTACACGTCAATCTTTAGTGTGGTTCTAGGTCGCTCTTATTGATTTTTGCTTGAACATTTAAGGCTATGTCATATAAAAAATGTGATTAAAATTTGAACTAGTTGAGTTGGCCTTGAGAATTTCTTTTAAAATAGAAAAGTGTCTCTGGATCATTAAGATGGATTCTTGATCTTCTCTCCTTCTGTAATGAATATTGTGCAATGACTTGCAGTCTGTAATTTTGGCAGATGGACAGAGTGCCTTTCCCCTTGTTATGGTTGGTGGCGTTCTTGAAGCGCATAGGGGGACGTGGGATATAGGAAAAGAAGTAATTAACTGTATTTCCAAATACTTTCCGGGGGTAATTCCCATTAGACCTAAGGTCAGCATATTTTGCCTTTTATTTTGGAGAATCTTTTATATTTCTTGTACAGTCTTTTTCTATGCTGCACTTCCCTTCCTTTGATGTTGGTAACCATTTTTAAAAACAAGTGCATAGAAGATCAAATCTTATTTCCTTGCTATTTAGAAGATATTTAACGCATTCTGATCCAGTTACTAAAAAGAAGTGACTCCGGGAAAACTGCAGAAGGAACATAGATAATAACCTATAGGAATCATGCTTGGGAACAAGTTAGTGGTAGTATAAATTACATTTTCTTTTTTATAAATTCTTTCAAGGTTAGTATTTGACATTTTGAAAACAGAAGAGATACTGTAGAGCATCCATTAAATAATTTTTAACTAGGAATCAAATTTTGTCCCCAGACGTCAAGAATCAACATTGAAATGTTCTTTAAATATCCATATTCATTTTTTTAACATGTTTGTGTTAATTGCACAACAGGTGGAGCCTGCTGTTGGTGCGGCATGGTTAGCTTGGAATTTTTTAATGAAAGAATATCACAAGGGCTGACAATTGATGAAATAGAATGAAAAAGAAAATCGACAACTTCCAATTCTTGATGATTAAAAGTGTATATTAAACATGGACGAAAGTGTGAATACCTATCTATTATGCACTATCCAATATCTCTGTTGTTATTGTTTCAGTTCGTGCCACATGGTAGGCTTAGTTCCATGAGTTATGATTACCTTAAGCAACGTCATAATAACTATGCGTGTGTATACAATTTTTAGTGACATAAAAACGATAGAGAAGTGTCGTCATTGTCCAATAGCTGCTATTTTTTTAGCATTAATTGTTTAGTGAATAAAGATTAGCAATTTGGCACAGCTAATGTTATCTTTACATTCCTGCCGTTTTATAAGGTAAGACTGGGATGTTTAACAATTTCAAAATTTTGATAACAGTAAAATAGATCAAAATTACAAATTGAGATTGTATATAACCAAATTTAACTAAAATTTTTAATTATATGTACTTTTTTTTTAAATGACATTTTTACTGAACTGGTTATTAAATGTATTTCCCGCAATAATTTTCTTGCATCAATTTTTGTGAAATTCTACGGTATAAGACATTGGAGTGTGAAACATATTGATTTAACGTTTTAAATAATTGATAAATTTTTAGAATATTAATCAAGTGGTAACAACTCAAATTTCAGCAATAAATAATGTGTTAATACTGTAGTAAAAAAAAAACATGCTTAATTTTCTAACATTTGCTTCTAATTTAAAAAATTCTAAAAGATGTGTTGTTAGAAATACTATACAGTGTAATTAGATGGGGAAACATTTATAAAATAAAGTAATCTACACTAAATTCTCCTTTTATCAGTCTAAACCATCCTTTTAACCAAAGAAAAACTTATAAATTTCCACAATTATTCCCTCTTACCAAAGTTCTCTCTCCGCTTGTAGGGTCAATATAGTGCTCCTTCCGAAATTTCCACAATCCTTTAAACCAAACAAAAAACCTTAGACCATTTGTATAATTCTTCCATCCTTAGCTTCTAAATTAGTGTTAATCCTGTTACTGATATTTTTAACATTGCATCATCTTATTGGGTTAGTGGAACATAGCAACTGAGTCAAGAAAAATATAAAATTCAGGAAAGGCAGTATCGAATCCTCTTGATTCTCAAATTATTTATTAACCCCCAGAAGTAACATAGTAACACAGGTAAAGGGGCGAAAAACAAATTGCTGAAAGGTAAAATTACATACTTGATTTCTCGTAATAATTTTACTGTAAAATAGAACGGCATATCTCCCCGCAATTATCCAAGACACTTTACCTACCATTAACTACTTTAAGGAACATAAATACACTAAGTAAATTGAATCACCACTTCATACAGCTACCTCTTCCAAACGGCTCATGCATGCATATTCGTGTGTACACATTTTCAGGATCATTCTGAGATTCAAAGTCCATAGAGGGAAGTAATGAGTCATACAAATATTCACGGCAGATGGTAGAACCCGCAGAATGGAGTCCTCCCTTTCTTTCTCACTTTTCATAGATGTTTCAAAAAAACAATACACAGCTGAGACTGAGCCAAAAGTCCCAGAAAAGAAAAATATATGCCGTAGACCTTCTGATTCTTATGTTATATGACCTTCTAAAATCCTTAGTACTACAAGGACTAGCCAAGAAGCCGCCTGTAAGTCTTAGAGAAAAGGAGAGAAGCAAACTCTACAAGAACCAAACCACCAAGAAATATGGGTGGTGAATTTTTTATATTGAGGTTAAAAAGGTCTTCTATTGTTTCGATTACTACCACGAGAATCACCAAACCCACTAGATTGGCCTGAGCCAAGATCTCCAAAACCACCTGAACGATCGGAACTTCCAAATCGCCCAAAATCATCTGGACGACTAAACATAGACCCACTGGATGATCGACCAGATCTACTTCCTGATTGACCTGAGCCAAACCGACCAGAGCTTGGTCCAGCATATCTACTCGTTTCACCAGATGAATTACCAGAAAATCCCCCTCCTGATTGACTTAAACCAGAGCCACCAAAACGATTATAACTCTGTCCACCAAATCTTTCACCGGAATTTCCAAAGCTAGAGCGGCCAAATCCACTGTTATTGTAGCTACCAGAACGGCCAGATCCAGGACCCCGGCCAAAACCTGTATCACCGTATCTACGATCCCTTGTACCTCCAAAAGAGCCAAATCGCCCACCACCCATGCCAGCTGTGTCCATTGATGCACTATCAACAGCAATCCGTGGTAGCTGATAAAGATGAATACAGGAATAGAAAGCAATCAATAAATAATCATATAATAGAAAATACCAACCTAGAATGTGATTAGCTTATTAGGGAGAGCAATCATTACAGTATCAAGAAATCGGTAATAATAACTAATGGATAGCAGTTCACTGGTTGCTTAGATATATTGATTAGAGTACTAGAGAAAATTAAGATTTTCAGTAACTCGAATTTCATCAGTTTCCAGGGCAACCTGACTCGCAAACCAGTTTCAAATCCCATTGTGCACAGGCAGGATGGGATTTAAGGCAGGAATATATGCTGCCCTACTAAGGTAGCCTCAATTTCAATGACTAGAAAATTAGTTATGAACAAGGTACAACTTCCAGTGCAAAGGATAGACAGAATGCAATAAGATGCCACCATAGGAGATCACCTCTGTAAATCTACAGCCCACATCACGCTCAATAAGTCTAACAGCCTTTGACTGATCTTCTGTATACACAAGAATAGCAGTTCCTTTCTTACCAGCACGACCTGTTCGTCCAGATCGATGAACAAATATTTCTGAAGAATTGGGAAGCTCATAATGTATTACCTATACAAGGAAAGCAAGTTAAAATTTCATATCTAAAACATTACACAACATGATAACAATATTGTCCACAATATATAACTGTATTTACATACACTAATGACATATTAAACATTAAGGCACAGAGCATGGACAAAGACAACAAACACAGCATAAGCAATGATGGAATACACCTTATGTGTTGCACAATTAACAAATATATCAAATACATTCAAAAGAAAAAGTAATAAATATTAGAAAAGGAGAAATATCATCAACAGAATCACAGTTTTTTTTTTTTACAAATTCAATCAACCATAAAAAAAATTCCAATAGAAATAAAAATCCAGTAAAACTGAACTCACAAGATCAACATTAGGTATATCAAGCCCCCGTGAGGCAACGTCAGTTGCCACCAAAACATTAAAATGGCCATTTCTGAAGCCAGCAAGAGTCTTTTCCCTCTGAGCTTGTGATATGTCTCCATGCAAAGCCTCACATTGAACACTTTTTGCCATGGTATATGATAAACGGTCTGCATCACGTTTTGTTTGAGTGAAAACAATACACTTTCCTCCTTTAGCATGTTCCTAACAAACAAAGGATATATATTTAGGGGAGAGAAAGAAACAAATCTAGCAATCCTTAACTAGTTTTTTTCTAATTAAAACATATAAAAGGGCAATCAAATGCACCTGTGACGTTCAAGTCACAAGGCACCAACCTTACCCTTGCACCCAAGCACACCCTCTAGTTAAGGATATTTATTTTAGTAAAAGCTTAAGAAAAAAAAAAAACTATTTACGAAACAGTAGTTATAGTTTCAGAATTTAGGTTTGACACCTAACCCAACCCTCTAAAACCATCCTGTAATGTAAGAACTGCTCAAGTTTTACAAGCTCTATTCAAGTTTAATTATATCAGCAGTCGATGTGGAAATAAGCACCACCCTTGAGGTTGCTGTTGAGGCATCCCCTCAGAGGAATGCAACTAAGGCAGGCTAAGCTTGACTATAATTAAGGAAGTTTTCAAACAGATATTAACAATCACTAATCAGAACTAGCAAACAAGTCGAAATGATGGTTTCAGAAGGCATACTGTTATTAGCTGCGCAAGAATTCCCGCTTTAACATACAAATCAGTTGCGATGGAGTACAGTGAAATTCCATCTGCTAACTTCTGATCAGAATCTCCAACCTACAGCACCGTTAAATTTCCAGTTAAAAAATAACTACCATGTATAACCATAATACATGCATCGTATACATATTAAAATATTATAAACTTATTGCTCAAAGAAGTTCATGTGCTCTACAACTTAATCTACTAGGTCGATTTTATACATTATACTTTTCTAGAGGAAGTACATTCCAGTCAAACTAAACGAGATCTCAGAATTGCAACAGCTTACAGGTATTCTCCTAGTGCCTAAAATGGACTTTCATACTTACAAGATCAATGGTCAGGGGATCATTCAGGTAATTGCGTGAAATCTGTTTTATCCAAGATGGCATTGTTGCAGAGAACATAAGAGTTTGACGTTTGGGGGGCAACCTCTCCAAGATCTTCTCCACTTCTTCCTGAAAGCCCACTTGAAGCATCTGATCAGCCTCATCAAGAACAACAAATTGAACTTCCTTCAGATTTAGAGCACCTCTGTTGAGAAGGTCAATAATCCTACCCGGTGTTCCCACAGCAATATCAACCCCGTAATCGAGCTGCCTCATCTGCCTAGAGATGGGCGTACCCCCATAAACACAAATTGTATCCAAGTTAGGCGCTGACTCATAGAATTCCTTCTCGACCTGCTTAGCAAGCTCTCTGGTTGGAGCCAAAACCAAAGCCAAAGGATCCCTACCCCGCCTGAACATCAACCACAAAAATAAATTGTACGGTTAAAGACACAAATAACATTTCCATGTTTCTATCCAGACCAACATCAATTCCCAAGTCCACCTTCAACTCTAACAGAGAAACAAGTACAAATTCAATTAATAGTGAAAGTATCACCATAACATTAATACAGATAAATAAAATAGAACCAACCCGTGCTTAGCATTAAACTGAATGATCTTATCCATGATTGGTATCCCAAAAGCAAGAGTCTTCCCAGTTCCAGTCCTGGCTCGACCGATCATATCACGACCTTGCATAGCAGGTTCCAGCACAGCCCTCTACAATTTAAACAGCCAATTCATTTTAAAAA